AAGGGAAAAAAAAGAAATCTGCCCTCGGGCATTAATGCCAAACAGAAAACAGACAATTCTCAGATTAGGCCATTCCTCTCCTTCCATCATGACCAAAATTGCTCTTTCCTTCAAGCTGCTCACCCAGAGCATCTCTGAAGATGACATGGTTGAGCTCTGGGTTGGAATTGCCACAACAGGCTAGAAAGATGGAAAGTCTCTGCTGAGATGAGGTGGGGGGGTACATGCAGGGACAAAAGAAGACGATCTGGGAAAGGGTCACAGGAAGAGGAAGAAACTGACCAGGTGCTCACTTCTGACACGTGGGAAATATTGTGGGTTCTAGAGTGGTCTCCAGAGATGAAAATGTTAGAGATTCCAGCATTGGACCTCAAAATGAGGGTGTCATGACAATTATATGAATACATATATAGAGTGTTTGATAATACATGCAGTTGTGCCTGTATCTTCAGGGTCTATAAGGAATTAACCAAGGAGTGGATGTTGTGGGATGCCTGCTTCTGCCAGGACACCTGAGGTGGCCTCAAGGTGGCCCTAGTGAGAGTGAGAAGTCACTAGAATGGAAGGGCCAGGGAGGCAGGCATTTCTGTTTGTTTCAATGTCCTATCCCAGTGCTCAGAAAATGCCTCCTGCCCATTGAGTCTTCAATAAATGCTTCCTGCATGCATCAATGAAGGAAGGAAGGAAGGAAGGAAGGAAGGAAGGAAGGAAGGAAGGAAGAGTAGCCATGACCAAACTGTAAGTCTGGAAGTAAAGCTCAGTTTTCTGAGTAGTTTGGAAACCTCCAATTTGGGTTCTGAGCTCTGCCATTCCTACCCAGCAGCCTCAGGTTCCCTCTTAATAAATACCCAGCCTGAGGGGTGCCTGCACCCTTCCTAGAAAGAGAATGGCACTTGGTCATCTCCCTCTCTCACCCCCCAAATTTGCTTTAAAGACACATCCAAGGCTTCCGCCCTCTATTGCTGCCACCCTCTTGCTTAACGTCTTTCTGCTCCATCCCAGTCCATCCATCCACATTCCTGATCCTTCCTGGCCCTTTGAACCCACAGAAACTATGACCTGTCCCTGAGGCCATTGTGGCAAAGGCAGGGGCACTCTGCCCTGCTCACCAGATGAGTACAAGGAGGACCCTCCCCAACCCCAGCAAATACACACTCATCTCTTCGAAGGCGGGAACGTTCTTTGCTGCCTAGACAGAAATCAAATTAACACTTAAAAGTTAGTCTCTGAAGACTCTGTCTACATTCTTCCCTCTACTCCCCGACCCCTCTTTCCCATCCAACCCTGCCCTTTGCCCAGGGAACCAGAGCCCAGTGGCTCAGATGAGGACAGCAAAGGCAATTACGTGGGGTTTCAGTTGTAAAAAGGGGCCTTGTGGAGGGATCACATCCCACTTTACAGTCTCTGTCCACTGAAGGACTGTGGCTGATATATGCTTCCTGTTGGAAAGAGGAACAGAAGTGGACACTCAACAGCTTAGTCTCTGCTCCCCAACACACACACTCCTACCCCAGTCCACAAAGGAGACAGGATCTCCCTGTGGACAGGGGCCTGTGTGGGTCACATCAGTGAGGTGAGGAGGTGGTGGAGGAGCCTAGCTGGGGAAGGTTTCCCTGTGGGGTTGTTGTGGCTGAGGCCCACCAGGGTGTTTGAGGGTCAAGGTACGCCTATGTTCATAGCAGCACAGTTTATAATAGCTAAGATTTGGAAACAGCCTAAGTGCCCATCAGTAGATGAGTGGATTAAAAAACTGTGGTACATCTACACAATGGAATAGGAAGAAGCCGGGTCTGCAGAGAAGGGAATCCCTGCTGGAGCCTCACACCTCCCCACACCTGCAGCCCCCACACTTCCTCCTCCAGGCCAGCTGTGCCAGCTTTGCTCAGGGATCCTGGGGACCCCTTGCATCAGAATCACCTGGGACACTTGTGGAAACTCATTAGAATCCCTGACCTCACTCCATACCTTCTGCACAAGGATCTCTAAAAAGGAAGCTAGAACCTGCAGTTTCCATAGGCACCAGGTGATGGTTACCCACTCTAATCTCATATTGGAGAACTACCTTGTCGATGGAAATGAAATCACCTTCTTCATACACTTTTTCTTCCTCCCCAGGACACATCTCTTAGTTACACATCTAGACCATTTCTGCCCTATCCTTGGGTGGTTTCACATTTCACATAGAGAAATGTTCAAACTTTTGAAATTCCTAACAATCATGTTTACTAAGTGTTTGACAAGGGCCAGGAGCCCATGAAGGAAAGAGGCAGAGGGAAAGCATTCCCATTATAGGAGACCCAAGACCACGGTGACAAAGTATCCAGGGAGAAAAGAGTCCAAGGCAGGAATAATCAAGTGTGTGGTTGTTGATGATGACATGAGGAAATTCCTAGGAGGACAGACTGCAGTAGGGCGAGGCATGAACACCGAGGAGGCAGTGAGCAGGGTGCAGAAGATTTTTTAAGCAAGTTGGCAGTGAGGGGACACCAGGTGGGAAGAGGGGACACGCATGAGTGAGGGGTTATGAGATGGCAGAGACCTGACCTTGTGGTCAGGTCAGGGGAAGGCTCCAGGTGAACTGGAGAGAGGGAAGATAGATTTGGCTCAGCCACCTTATCAGACATTTATCTCCATCAGCTCTGGAGCTAAGATCTCACTTCCATTTCATAGATAACATGGAGGACAGAGGAATTCTTTTTCTCCCCAAAGTCACAAAGCAAGCAACTTACTGAACTGTCCGAGGCGGGAATAATCAAGTGTGTAGTTGTTGATGATGATGTGAGTAAATTCCTAGGAGGACAGACTGCAGTGGGGCGAGGCATGGACAGCAGATAGGGAGTGAGCAGGGTGCAGAAGATTCTTTAAGGAAGTGGGCAGTGAGGGGACACTGGGTGGGAAGAGGGGACAAGTGTGAGTGAGGGGTTATGTGGTCAGGTCAGCGGAAGGGTCCAGGTGAACTGGAGGGAGGGAACATAGATTTGGCTCAGCCACCTTATCAGACATTTATCTCCATCAGCTCTGGAGCTAAGATCTCACTTCCATTTCATAGATAACATGGAGGACAGAGGAATTCTTTTTTTCTCCAAAGCCACAAGCAAGCAACTTATTGAACTGTTCTTTGAATTAGTTTACACTATGACGTGTTAGGAGGATGAAAGTAGTTCATGGAAGTGCAATGCTCACTGCACTGGGCCATTCTTTGTAAAAGTTCCTTCTAGTCACCCTTAGACCTGAACTGTAGAAACAGATAAGCTTCGTGCACGCCGTATTGGGTAGGAAATGACTTGCAGACACAGCTGTTTGGTTAGCCTTTGGAATCTAACTCCATTTAGTTCAAGCTGTGTGGTTAGCCTTTGGAATCTGACTCCATTTAGTTCACATTATCAACACGTTCAACACATAATTTTGATGTTTAAGTTCAGCCACTGACCCCATAAGATTGAAGAGTTCATACTCATTCCATCTACAGCCAGTGACAGGAGGTCACTCACTGCAGAACCCATCCTTCACCAGATGTTGCAGTGAGGACTATAGTGAACATGAGATGAGGAAATGTCACGTGTGTGTGTGTGTGTGTGTGTTGTGTGTGTGTGTAAAAAAAGTGTGTGTGTGTGTGTGTGTGTGTGTGTGTGTGTGTGTGTGAGAGAGAGAGAGAGAGAGAGAGAGAGAGAGAGAGAGAGAGAATGTTATATGTGGTGAGGGAACCCCCTATCTCCAAGGAGACATATCAGGTTTTGACCTCTATGAGACTCAACATTTGGGCGCAAAGGCACCAAGGACCCTGAGCAGGTTGTTGCATGCATGCATAAATGAAGGAACTAATTAATTAATAAAGAAATAATGAATGAATGAAAACTTGAGCTAAGAAAGTATAAATTTGAAAATAAAACTCAGTTTTCTTAGTTGCTAAAAACCTCCAATATGGGTTCTGAGACTGGGTCTTCCTTACCCAGCAGGCTTCAGGTTCCCTCTTAATAAACACCTAGTCAGAACGGTACCTGTATTCTTTATAGAAAGAGTGACCTTTTCCCTTTCTCGACTCGCCACATTTGCTTTAGAGTCACTTCCAAGGGTTCTGCCCTCTACTGCCACCCTCCTCTTCCTGAACATCATCCTGCTCCATGCCAGTCCATCCCTCCAACTTTCCAACCTTTCCTGGCCATTCCTAACCCTTCCTTAACCATCCTATCCCACACACCTCTGGCTACTCCCAGGGGTCATGGTGGCAAAGGCAGGTGTAATCTACCCTGCTCACCAGATGAGTACAATGAGGAGGATCACATTCCACTTTACAGGCTCCTGTCCACTTAAGGACTGTGGCTGACCTATGCCTGCTGTTGGAGAAAGGAACAGAAGTGGACACTCAACAGCTTAGTCTCTGCTCGCCAACACACACACTCCTACCCCAGGACTCAAAGGAGACAGGCTCGCCCTGAGGCCAGGGGCCTGTGTGGGTCACAGCAGTGAGATGAGGAGGTGGTGGAGGAGCCTGGCTAGGGAAGGTTTCCCTGTGGGGTGGATTGTCGGGGCTGAGACCCAGCAGGGTGTTTATGGGTCAAAGAGGGTCAAGGTACCCCTATGTTCATAGCAGCACAGTTTACAATAGCTAAGATTTGGAAACAGCATAAGTGTCCATTAGCAGATGAGTGGATTAAAAAACTGGGGTACATCTGCACAATGGAATGCTATGCTGCAATAAAAAAGAAGAAACTATTACCATTTGCAAAAGCAAGAATGGACCTGGAGAGTATTATGCTAAGTGAAATAAGCCAGTCGGAGAAATATAAATATCACATGATCTCACTCATTTGTGGAATATAATGAACAACCAACACACACACTCCTACCCCAGTACTCAGAGGAGACAGGATCTCCCTGTGGACAGAGCAGGGGCCTGTGTGGGTCAAAGCAGTGAGATGAGGAGGTGGTGGAGGAACCTGGCCGGGGAAGGTTTCCCTGTGGGGTTGTCGGGGCTGAGCCCCAGCAGCATGTTTATGGGTCAAAGAGGGT